TATTTAATTTTATTCATTATTTTAAAATTTTATTTATTTATTTCTAGTTTATGTGTATGAGTCATTGCCTGCATTTGGATAAGTGCACCTGTGTCATGCAATGCCCATGGAGGACAGAAGAGGGCGTCGGGTCTCCTAGAACTGTAGTTACAGATGGTAATTCACTGCCATGTTTGTGCTAAGATTCAAACTCAGGTCTTCTACAAAAACAGTTAGTGCTCTTAACCACTGAGCCATCTTTCCAGTCACTATTTTATTTTATATTTTATTATGTTTGAGGCAGTTGGCATTGAATTTAGAGCCTCACAGTTGAAGGCAAGTGCCCTAGCACTGACCCAATTTGTCACCTTTTGAATTAAAATGTCCTAGTAATTTATTTTTGAATTAACTTTATTTCCCCATTTTTACAAATAGACAACTCTCTGAAATGTTGCTGAATAGCATTATTGGACATGGGTTTACTGAAAGCAAGTTGGCACTATATTTTTAAGTCACATCAATCTATTTATAATTTTGACTAAGATCAGAAGAATTAAAAGTTCATTTGTGTATTTATTATAATGCATACAGACATATATAAACGTGCACTCACACACTACATGTGGACAGAAGATGATGGGAAAGGATAAAGTCATTGGCAAAGACCTCTGATTATTTCTGGGAAGGTTGTCATGAAGAGAGCATGGACTCTCTATTCACTTTGGCTTACTGTCTCTCCCTGGTTTTAATCCTTTTAGCATGCTATTCACCAAGAGGCCTGCACCAGAACAAAACCCTTGAACACAAGAACTGGGAGCCAAATAAACTTCTTTATAAAGTACACAAGCTCAGATATTTTATTATAGTAACACAATAATTAAAAATCCTAAAATGAAATGTTCAATATTATGGGATCAACATTTATATAATAAATTTCTCCTTCTTCGTTCCTCCCTCCCTCCCTCCCTTCCTTCCCCCTCTCCCTCTCTCCTTCCCTCCATCCCTTCCTTTCTTTTAGACAGAGTCACCTGTATAACAGACTGTCCTCAGATTTACCATGCGGTGCAAGGACATCCCTGAACTTCTGATTTATCTACCTTCACTTCCTGAGTGTTGGGATTATAAGTATGTGCCACCAAGCCTAGTTTATCTGGCACTGAGAGTAAAGCCCAGGATTAAATAAGCAGCCTACCATCTAAGCTCATATTTGCTCCATTAATAACATCTACAGAATTATACAATTCAGACTGATGCTCTAAAGAAATCATTTAGTAGGTGATGGTGGTGTTCTTGCATAAATTTTATCAAGAAATGGTCAGATGAGATCAGCAATAAGAACAGAACTTTATCACCTTGCTTAGCTTTAATTACACTTTAACCTACCAGAGACTGCATTTTTAACTCTGCATCTTTTAACATGCAACATAAATATTTATGATAGGTATTAATTGCTTACTCTTCTTGCCTATAAATTTTTTCTAATATAACTATTAATTTTTAAATATTTGCTTTATAACCTTTCAGAAAAATAAATTTGTTTAGAGATTGGATCATAATTTTGATCTACTCAATTACACACATTCTAACATATTCAGTGAAAAAGAAACAAAGAAGTCATTTTAAATGTGCATACAAAATGCTGCCATTTTCTGTAATTTGCTTCTTAGATGTATGTTTCTTTTGTTTATTTATTTTAAATGTATGAGTGTTTTGGCAGCATGTATGTAAGTGCAGTGATGCATGGAATGCCTGCATAACCTAGCAGAGGTCAGTAGATCCCCTGGAGCTGCAATTACCAAAGATTGATAGCACCCATATGAGTGCTGGTAACCAGACTGGGGTTCTCTGCAAGAGCAATGAGTGCTCTTAACCACCGAGCCATCTCTCAAGTTCCTAGATATCTAATTTTCTGCCAAATTATTTTATAGTATTCATTGTTACCTTCTTTCTTGTAATAACATTGAATTTTTTATAAACACAATTTGATATAAAGTAGAAAATGTTTACCATTATTTTACAGATAATAATTATTTCTTATATTTACATAAGCCATCTAAAAATGCTTGCTAAGTCATGACTTGGCTCAAGTTCAGAACTATGATATTGAATATTTCATTCTTTAAAAATTATCTATTCTATTATCTATCTCTTGCCTATCATCATCACTGTCATTTATCATTTATCACCTATAATCTAACTATCTATCTATCATGTCCTTATGTTACCCAGGCTGACTTTGAACTCTCAGTCCTCCTGACTACATCTCATATTGATATTATAGGCATGGCTTCACACCTTTATCTCTTAGATTGGAACATAGTAGTTGTATGCGTTCATACAATACAATGCAGTAATTCAGTATAGGTTCAAATATTTAAGAATCCAATTAATATTTTATTAGTCCCTTATTTATTCTTAAAAATGAAGACTTTGCCAGGCTTGGGGGCACATGCCTTTAATCTCAGCACTCAGGAGGCAGAGGCAGGCAGATCTCTGTGAGTTCAAGGCTAGGCTGGTCTACATAGTGAGTTCCAGGACAGCTGGGGCTACAGGGAGACACTGTCAAAAAGACCAAAAAAAAAGTGGAGACTTTATTGTGCATATTTGGCACATGTGCAAATTATGTATAATTATATTTAAGGACAAATATCCCAGTCACCACTCATCAAAGAAGCTCATTTTGTACCAGTCAGAGACTATTACCAAATGCCACATCTGGTCACACGCGGACATTGTCTATGAATTACCCAAGCCTAAGTGACATATCTACAATGCAACCTCTATACGCAAGGCTCATGGAACATAGAACACGGGTATAGAAGAGGACACTTATTAATCTCTCAGTTCTCATTAATGAAGCTCTTTCATGCAGCAGAGGGCCAGGAACACAAAAGGTCAGAAATGGCCAAAGGGCAGAGATAAAAAGTCTGCTGAATGTTGGTCCTTGGACAGGACCCCTTTATTAAACTTCACCCACCCAAGGCACAGGGACCATTGCAGAAGATGGAGCAGAGAGATTGTAAGAGCCTAGATGGAGGTGCATGACCATATGGAAACAGTCCTACAAGCTCCTGGGAACCTGCTTATATGATTCTGTGGCAATGGTGTCAGCATACACAAGTCGCATGCAAACTCATGCAGACAAAAGCCCAGCCTAGAACTGGGAAAATAAACGACAGACCCTGATCTTATCTGAATATTGGCAATGGATTGCTGCTAGGTGAAGAACCTATCTTCCTAAAACAAGGGACTCTAGATAGGCTGACTAGACCTCAGTGGACGGATTTGCTCTGGGGAACGTCTGGGGACACTAACTTGACAACATGGGCCTTGGTATGACAGAATAGATGGGTTCCAGTTGGTGTTGGGGGTGGGGGGCTATGGGAGGGTGGCAGTGGGGATGGGGATATAAAGATGATTAAGATTATTTGACATGTTCTATATGAAATTCAATATCCTTATATTCAATAAAAATAAATTTTAAAAAATAAAAATGAAGACTTTAAACACCCTTACCCATCAGGGACCTGTAAATGAAATATATTTTGAGATT